GAATGAGCCAGCGGAGACGCCCAAGGGGAAATGGCATCGCCGCCGTCGGCAATGATCACGGACTGCTTGCCGAGGTCAGTGGTGGACTGGAGGCGCCCGGCGAGGGTGATGTCCCAGCGCCAGACTGCCCTTGAGAGCGAGCGCGCGGCGAGGGCGCGGCCGTCGATGCGGCTGGGGCGGGCGGCGCCGCCAGAGGACAGGCGAACCCGATCGTCGCGGGCCACGCGAGCAGCATCAGCCATGAGGCGCTCGCACGACCGCCAACGATTCCTCGCGGGGGCATGGGCGGTGTTTGAAGCTTCGACGAGCTGCTGCGAGGGGCCGGCGCAGCGTGGGTTGCGGAAGATCGCGGGCGGGCTGGCCTGCTCGACGGGCGGCGGGCGCGGCTGGATGCCAATGGCGAAGGCGACGACGGCGTGGTCGCTGAGGCGCATGTCCGACACGTTGGCGGCGTCGTGGGCGATGTCGGATGTCGACCTGCAGGGTGAGCTCCTGCGTGACATGAGATGAGACGCCGATGAAGACGCGGTCACTCGCGGCGGCCGCGAAGTCAGACTTGTTGAACCTTGCCGGGGTGCTGTTATTGACGAGCGATGGGTGGGCATGCTGAGCCTGCGGCGGGATGATGCTGTTGGGGGGGGCGGCTGGCCGCTTTGAAATTTCCCGCGGCGCTGGTTGTCCTGCTCCGCCTTTTCGCGACGCGCGTGCCATGCTGCGCGGGCCCTGCCACGATCTCGCACAGTCAGCCACGGTTGCAGACGCCCATCAGGACCGCGGCGTTGCGGGAGGCGGCGCTGGCGATGGCGAGAAGCTGGATGCGCCCAGGGACTAGGGCGCTGCGCGAGATGATCGGGAACTGGCCCTGCTCAGGCTTTTCGAACTGCATCGAGCTGCATCGGCGTGAACCATGGGGCATGGATGGCAGCGCCGCCTGCGGCCGCGGACGCGGCGCCCTCGTCGGATGTGACTTCGACGAAGAAGAGCTTGCACGGGCTCGGCCGCGCGCCGCCCACGCGCGGAACAGCGTTTCGGACCCGCAAACCTCCCGACGGGGTGATGACGCGCGGCCGTCGGAGAAACTTGGCGAGAGAGGCTTGTTGTTGCGTCGGAGACTGGAGCGTTCGTCGCACATCAGCGCTCGAGCGTTCCTGCTGACAAAGGCGGCGGGCGACGAAACCCCGGGCGCCGGCGATGGCGCCCGCGGGCGGTTAGGGAAGCCGCGCGGCAGACTCGGTGTCCGAGACGAAGGCCTGGGCAGAGGAGAGGGCAGCTGCGCGGTCGATTCCGTGGAACTGCTGAAGCTCGAGGGCCCTCTCGCTTCACTCGAAGGCCGCAGGGTCAGCCTGGCCGCAGATGCCGAGGCGGATGACGGGCATGGCGTTGCTGTGGATATCGCCCTCGTTGCGGATGGCCCGCCATTGCAAGTTGGGGCGCTGATGTTGGAGCAAGGAAAAAGAGTTTCTCGCCCTGGGTCTCAGCGCCGAATTTCCTCGGATACTTGACGTCATTGAGGTCCACGCGCTGCCCGGCGGTGTTGGCAGCGACGAGAAGCGCCCATTCCCCCGCGGCATCGCGCAGGGCACGCCTCAGAGCGAGGTCGCGGGGAACAGCGACTTCGCGGCCGCCATTGACAGGGATAACGAAGCGGCGGGTAGTCGCGCGGCCGTGGAAATCACCGCGGTCGGACTGGGTGCCAGCGCCTCCGACCCACTCCCGCAGGTCATTGAGGGGGGTGTCGGGCGTGGCGAGGAGCTGGTAGCCAACGGGGAAGATCGCGGGGTCTGGGACGCGGTCCCATTCGGCGAAACGCGCGACTCCACGATCAGGATCTGGGCCTCGGCGAAGGCGAGGGTGTCGCACATCTGGTCGATCTGGTGCCACGTGCACATCTGCTCGGCGCAGCTGGAAGAGGGGGCGGAAGCTCTCGCGAGACTGCTCGAGGAGGCGGCCGGCTTGGGCGCGAAAAACGTCGGCGGCGATGGTGGCCCGCTCTTGCGCGAGGCTCTGCAGGGCGGAGCCCAGTTCTGCAGGGCGGCCAGGGGGGCGCGCTGCCGGTGCGGGGCCTGAGAGCAATGTTCGGCATGATGGGTGGTTCCTTGTGGATGTTTTTGCGATGGGGGCGTGGGAAACTTGTCCAAGTCGGCCGCCAGCTTCCATGGATCTTGTCCGGGGAGAACGTCGCGGAGGGGACCGTCCCTCGACGGGCCAGCGGATGCGGGGCGATCGGCAGAGCGGGCCGTGCGGGAAGATCGTGGTGCAGCGCGGCCTGATGAACAACCTGCAGGGACAGCATCGTCACGTTGCTGAACGGCGAGAGGTTCACGGGCGGCTTCGGCACGGGGGCGGTCTTCTTGGCGATGGGTGCGATCGCGGTGTATAGCGTGATCGCGATGCCAAACTTTATGTCGGCGGCGGCGTGAAATTTGCGATGCGGGGATGCCGCGAAATGCAGTGTTTGTTGCCGCTGGAGCTGTTGCTGCTGGCCATGGTTGCGAGCTGGTGTCGAAGGGCGAGCTGTGGTTGATGTCCACGATGGGCAGCTGACTGCCAGCGGCCACGTGCGATGCGCAGCCACACCGTGACGGCGGTGAGGTCGATGTGAAGACCAACGGCGGCGCGAACGATATGAAGGGCTCGAAGCGGGACCCGACGAACGATATGGAAAGCCCAGGGCGAGGCTCGACGAGCGGATATCGAAGACTTAGAGCAGAGCTCGACGAGCGGATATGGATGGCCGCCTGGAACGCCAGTGCGAGAAGCAGGACAAGCTTGGATGGGCGGCCGCAAACCCTTGGTTGTGGCGGCAAGTCTGCGGGGACAGGTGGGAGCCTACCCCGTGGAACCAATGAGATGGACACCCTCTTGGCCTTGGGCCACAACTGCTACGGAAGGAGGAGGACAAGGAGGGGGAGGAGCAGGAGGAGGAACCGGGAGGAAACGGGGGCCGCGGGGGGGGGGGGGACGGCCAGCGCAGAGTTCGAGCCACCCCCCCCTTGCAAAGCGCGGAGCGCGCCGACACTGTCTTTTCCGGCTGTCTCCGCCCTCGCCTTGACGCTCGTCCAGTGACCTCTCCGCAAGCCTCTTTAGAAGAAGAAGAAGAAGAAGAAGAAAAAGAAGAAGAAAAACGCCATAAACATCAGTTTGTGGCACGCCGTGCGGATCTCTTGGATCCGCGCTGGGGCCCCCTGGCGGCGCCTCCGGCGCCGCCCTTGGCTCGCTCCGAGCGCCAGGGGGGGTTCTAGTCCAGATCCAAGACATGCGCGCGGGTTTCCAACAATTTCTGTGCATGCCTTTATTGTTTCCTCTACTCTCCGCTTCCACCCGCTCGCGTCATGACGGCGACAGCGGCGGCAGCACGACGAAGAGGACGACGAGGGAGACGAGGAAGGCGACGGCGACGATGACGCCAACAACGCCGCCGCCGCCGCCACCGCCGAGACTGACACAGGCATCGGTACTGGCACTGGCGGCGGCAGAAGCGGCTCCACCGCCACCCCGCGTCGTAGAGTCGATCACGACGGAAGGTCTCGGGCCATTTTAAGCCTTTGGATGCGCTTACTGGGTCCCGAAACAATCAACAAAAACCGCTCACCGTGAACAGCCAGCGTCCCGAGAAGCGGTCCAGGCCAGGGGGCCCGCGCGTGCGGCGGCGCTGGACGGTGGCAAGGCACCGCCGGCGCCACGTGCCCCGCGAGGCGGACGCCGCATGCAGTCGCGGCGCCGCGGTGGCCCCAGCTGCGGCGCCACTGGCCCTGGGGCGGCCGTCGTGGCGACGGCAGCGCGCGCTGGACACTGGCGGCGAACATATATCCGCACTCCAGATTTCGTAATAAAAGGGAAGGGGTCTGGACCCTCCAAGACAAGCCATTTCAGACCTCCCCCGTGGGAGAACCCTCCAAAACATCGTCCCCAGAACCCCAGGCCCTCCAAGATAGCCTGGAAGAGACCCCCCCCGAAATGAGACCCCCCTCCCTTTATTACGAAATCTGTAGTATCCGCTCCCTCGCGGTCTGGACTCTCGGGTGCGATCCCGCGGACACGCGGTCGCGCGGACACGCCTCGCGCGGGCGCGCGTCGCTTCCCAGGGGCCTGCCCGGGTGGCCCGCGTGCCCTACGCAGGGCGGGGGCTCCACGCCGCGCCTGCACCGGCTGGGCGCCCCGACTGCCCGCGCGTTCTGCCGCGCTGCTGCTCCTCGGCGCCTCGCGCGCGGGGGGGGGGCAGCGAGCCTCGTGGCGGCGGACGTGTGGCGGCGCGTGTTGGAGCGCCCATGGCCGTCAGTCTATCCTGAAGAGACCCTGGGACACACGAATAAATACACGCAGATAACAGGATCCCCCATATTTCCCAATGTTTTCGGGGTGTTCGCCTTCCCTCCCACATCCCCTACTTTCCCATATTTTCACGCGAGTCGACGATCAATTGTGTCTGTGTGTTTCTTTCCCTCCTGATATCCAGGCCCCTTCGGGACATGGAACACAAACGTGCGGGAAGGTTTTCTGCGGGACCTTCCGCCTCCGGGGGCCCTCCCCGCCTGGCCCCAAGACCGCCAGGAGAACGACCCATGACGAAGAGCCAGTCTCGGGGAATGGGCCCAGATTGCCGGGGGCCGACTTATGATGACCAAGGATCATGACGCTTGGAAACCGCCTGATCCCCTGTGCTGCTGGGGCCTTCCGCTCCCGGTCTCCCGCGCCGTGCCACCCTTTCTCGCCACCGGGCCCCCTGCTCGCCGTCGCTCGACGTCCAGTCCCTGCGCACTGTTCGGTCTCGTGCCCGTTCCTACTGGCCCGACGGTCGAGGCTGCTCATCGAAGGCCCGCGCCGAGAAAAAGATGCACACGTCCGAGCGATGCCAGGCCTGCGGACGGAACGTCGGTGCTGCCGCCGCCGTACTTGTCGCCGTCGCTGGCCCAGAGGCGCCCCTCGCCGCGGATCCTCTCCAAGCAGGCGGGGCGGCCGCCGCTCTTCCCGGCCCAGGGCGCCCCCGCCCCGAGGCTCCCTCAGCCGTTGTAGCGCTCCAGGAGGCTCGGCGGGGGCAGGGTCTCCATGATGTCGGGCCGAGAGGCGAGGTAGGCACGGATCGTGGTGGTCCTGGAGGCGCACAGAGGGGAGGCGGCACCGGCTTTCCCATGGGCCCACTGCGCGGACGATGGACACTGCCAGCTTCTCCACTGAAGGGCATGGGGGGCTCCACCACTCCAAGCACCAGCCGCGGGGAGGGAGGGAAGACAAGGACCAGGGCCAGGCTGGGGAGGAGAGAGGCAGGAGAACACCAGACGGTGACTGATACGCACAGTTGCCCTCAGGACGTATCGGGCCGCGGCTGCACAGATGCTTCGCGGTTGCCCCCTGAGAGCAGGCAGTGCTGCAAGAGCATGAACCGTCGGCGGTCCGAGCCGATTTTCTGGGCCAGCGCTGGACCTCCCTCCACTGGCGCGCGGAGCGCGCCATGGGCGGCGGCGGAGGTGCCGCCAGGGGAGGGTCTGCGCCGACCCCCCAACTCCGCGCAGACCTTCGAAAGCTTCTGTTGCTGCATTGTCTGTTCGGGTGCAGCTGCGAAGCCCGCTCGAACGCCCTCGAAAAACAACCCGGGAGGCGGCGGGAACCAAGTTTGCAAGCGCAGGTGCGCTTCGGACCGGTTCCATGCGAGGAGGGCGTCCCTGGCCAGGTGTGCGGCCTGCGCTGCCGGGGCTGGGCCTGTTCGGCCCTGGGGTGGGGTCCTGTCGGCCAGGAAGGTGTCGTCCAGAAAAGATTCCAGGGCCGCGGTGCCCGCCTTCTGGGCGGCGAGCACGCAGTGGCGCAGGTAGACTGGGCACGGCAGGATACCGCTGTCCTCGGAACTGGATGCCAGGAGAGAGAGGAGCGCGCGGGCATACGCTTCGGACGTCCGCGTGCGGCGGATTCTTGTCAGCACCGTAGCCCTTCCACACGCCCGTCCCGTGTGGGGCAGCGTCGAGGGCGCCGCCAGGGGCAGTGGGCTCCGGCGTCGGTGGGAATCTGCCGCCCTCGGGCGTCCGATGCCCACGTTCGTGTTCGGGCGAGGCTAAGTCCAGCTGGAGGCCCGCGAGACTCTGGGCTCCAGCCAGGCTTGCTCTCCTCGCCTTGCCAGAAGAGTTGCGTGCAAAACCCACCAGATAGAGCATCCTAGCTCCAATCGGGGCTGATCCATCTGGTCCTAGCATCGCCAGATATGTTTTGTCTGACCTCTGCTGTCCGGGCCCCAGCCCCAGATGGTCTTGATGCCCCACTGGCCGTAGGACTCCTTGGCGGCGCGCCATCAGGGGTGGGGCAAGGATGGTGGGCTTCTACCAAGGTGGGGGGGGGGGGGCTTCTTAGGCGGCAGGGTCCTCCTGAGAAGGGCCGGGAGGCTTCTGAGAAGGCCCGTGGGCAGCTGAGAGGGCTTCGAGGAGGGCCCCTGCCTCCTACGACGCCCACCGCATGCTTGAAAGGCGCCCTCCCCCTCGTGCGCGCAGCCCCCCGGTGCGCGCCGCGAGAGTTCGGGGAGCAAAAGGCCATGTCAACGACACGCCGCCGAGGGGAACCCATCGGCGTGCTGCTGCTCGGGAGGCAGGGGAGTAGCACGCCGGCGGGTTTCCAACGGCGGCCTGGCGCTGTCCCTCTCGATGCTCGCTCCAGGGGCCTGCCTCGAACCACTCGCTCCGCTCGTGCGCCAGTGCTGCGTCGAACGTGTCTGCTGGAGTCGAGCTTGAATAGAGCTTCAGTCGACACTGGATCGAACTGGAGTGGCCCCAGAGTCGAACTTGCTCCGACCTAGAGTCGAACACATCCTTCGGATGGGCCCTGGGACGGCCCCCAGGAGCGATCATGCGAGACTGCCGTCGATGACCCCCTGCTCAGCGCGCCGCGGCGGCGGCCCTGGCGACACGCTATGTCTGGCCATCGGATTGCGTGTCGCTCCGAAGTGTGACACGGGGCGGGAGATTCGGAGGAGCTCGGGACGTGGATGCCTGGTGGCCGAGAAGCGCACAGCCTGTCGCACCGAAGCGTGGCGGGCCAGAACCTGCGGAGCCACACGCTGAGCCAACGTGCCCGACTGTACAGTCGGGGCCTTGCCCTCAGGAGCCCCAACTGAGGAACGAGGCCCCTTTTTTCCATGAGGAAAAGATCGATGTCCGATCGAAAACATCGGGAAAAACCTGAGGCAAGCTGCGAAACACCTGAGGAACGCGGAGCCCCTCCCCGTCGCAAAGGGCTCCTTCTTCAGGGCCCCGACGGTGCGGCAGGCTCGTGCCGTGCAAACCCCAGCGCTGGCTCCTCACACCGCGGGCGGGCACCGCGACCTGGAACGACCGGCCGTTTCCGAAACGTCAGCTCGCTCAACCCAGACCCCCGACGTCATGATTTTTTCATGACGCGACCCCCAGAGGTCCGGACCTATTCGCCGGGACCGGTTTTTCATCCTGAGTTGTTTTTTGACGGTCCCGAGGCCCGGTGAGGACCTCCAGAGGGCGAAAATAGCGAAAAACCTCCAGAGGGCGAAAATAGAGGCCCGGTGAGGACCTCCAGAGGGCGAAAATAGCGAAAAACCTCCCGTCGTGATTTTTTTCATTGCTCGAGGGGGTCTCGGAACGCCGGCGGCGGGGCCGCAGCCGGCCGACGCGACGCAGACCTGCCGCACTGTCGGAGGTGTGGCCGGCGGCTGCGACGGGCGTGGCTTGCAGACGGTGCGGTTTGCGACCGGCACCCTGAGGTGTTAGAACTCACCGCCTTCACTGGTTTCTCCTCTTTTCCGACTCGCATCGGCCCCTTCTCCTTTTCCTCCTTCCCCCCCCCTCAGGATGCCCTCAGGGTCTGAGGGCATCCCGAGGGGCGGGCGGGGACCTCGCTGGAGCTCTCTGCGACGCCCCGAGGAGGCCCGACGAGGACAGTGCCGTGCTCCCCCAGCCCCAGCGGTGCCGATCGACAACCGCACCCCGGCGTAACCGCACTTGGGGAAACCTAATCCTTGGATGCGTTCTGACCGGGATTTCGAGGCGAATCCAGCGGTGGCGGCGAGGGCCTCCAATGAGGCCCAAAAAGGAGGCCAACGAGGCGAGGGTAGCGGTATGGGTACCCTTCCCTTCTCTGAGCACTCGCTCTCGCCCCTGGGGCGTCCTGGAACCGCGCCGCCCCCCACTTCTCGACGAAAGCGTCCACGTCGCCGACGGCAGGCAGGCACATCAGCCCAGAGCCAGCCGGCTCCGCTGGCCCGGGGAAGGGGTGGGGGGGGGGCCATAGAGGGGCACCAGCAGGAGGAGCAGGAGAAGGACGAGGGGAGAAGAGCAGGCGGCGGAGGAGGCGGAGAAGGACGAGGAGGAGGAGGAGGAGGAGGAGGAGGAGGAGGAGGAGGAGCAGGAGCAGGAGCAGGAGCAGGAGCAGGAGGAGGAGGAGGAGGAGGAGGAGGAGGAGGAGGAGGAGGAGGAGGAGGAGATGAGAGCACACGGATACCTCACGCCAGCTGGAAAAGCGCCTCCAGTGAGCTCGCTGCCGCATGCGTTTGCCTTCGGTGAGCTGATTGCCGCAGTGGTTTGCCTTCAGTGCTTAGTTTCTGCATTGGATACCGTTTTTTGTCCACACAGGGGGACCTAGCTCTTTGTCGGAGAGAGAGAGAGAGAGAGAGAGAGAGAGAGAGAGAGAGAGAGAGAGAGACAACTGAGACAACGGCGGCCCTCCCGCTCAACCTAAATCCGCTCAAAATCGATCACCCGACCCCTCCCGAGGTCCGCATTCTGAACTGCATTTCGAGGCGTGTCCATCCCTGGCGACCAGAAGTCCTCCAGGAGGCGCAGAGATCCAAGAAACCTGCGCGGAGCGCCAAACAGTTTCTGTTCATGTCGCTGTTTCTTCCTCTAGCTCCCCTCAGGACCAGTTTTTCCCCGCGGGCGACTGCGCCACAGCGTGCAAAGAGCCCCGGCAGGATGGCCACGGAGGTGCGGGCGGGGAGGAGAGCGCGGGGGCGGGCCGAGAGCGGGGCGCACACCAGCAGCAGGAAGAGGAGGGAGGACGAGGAGCAGGAGGAGGAGGAGGAGCAGGACGAGGAGCAGCAGGACGAGGAGCAGGAGGAGAAGAGAAGGAGGAGGAGCAGGAGGAGGAGGAGGAGGAGCAGGAGGAGGAGGAGGAGGAGCGTTTTCTTGCTCGGCGTTTCGGCAGTGGGCGGACAGGGGGGGGGGGTCTGGCTCCGGACCGCTGCTTCGATCGCCTGTTTGCAAGAGTGCGGCCTCTGGGGGAGACTCCACCAACTCGAAACAGGCGCCAACAAGCAGCCAAGATCACTCAAGAGGGGGGGTGGGGGGTGGGGGCCCGCGCCGATCGGCAAAACAACGAAACAAAAAAGGCTCACCATTACAGGGCTGAGCAGAGTGTCCCAACAGGGGGATCTACAGTCAACCCGTATAAGAAAGGACGCAAGATAAGACATTGTGCGAGCGGGGCGCGGCCAGCGAAAGCGGCCGAGTATGCGCCGAAGGGGAAGGATGCAAGGGTACCTTTGGAAAGTCGCTCATCCTTACAATGCGGGTGGAGTGTAAAAAACTGGTCAACGTTTTCTTTTTCCGCGTCTCGGCATTGGGCGGAAGGGAATGGGAGGGGGGGGTCTGGCTCCGGACCTCTGGTTGGTGCAACTGTTTGCAGCAGTGCGTCCTATGGGGGGGACTCCACCCGCTCGAAGCAGGCTCCAAACACAGCCAAAATCTACTCCATGGGGGGGGGGGAGGGGAGGGGTGCGAGGGCCCGCGCCGACCGGCGGAACAACGAGCAGGAGAACCATCACCAGAGCAGCGCGTCTCAACAGGGGGGTGCAGGGCGTGCCTGGCGATAGCATCATCTCTGCCCCTGCCGTGATGCCGCCGCTCCCTGACCTGCCTCGTCGCCTCATCGCTGCCGTCCCCGTGGCCTGCGGCGGTCTGCACGGGACAGGCTGAAGAGAGAGGACGACGATGGGGGCGAATAGCGCCCAGGGGGGGGGGGGGGGCAATACAGGCATTCAGGGGCGCCGATGATCTATGTCTTCGACAGGGCTCGTTGGCGAATGCGCGTAGTGCCCGCCCCTGGGCCATTCGCCCTCATCGTCGCCGCCGAGGAAGAGGAGGGCGAGGAGCAGGAGGCGCAGGTGGTGGACGGGGACACGGAGGACGAGGGTGGACGAGCGGGGCGAGGCATCCGTCTGGCCCCGAAGGGCGGAGTTCAGCCCGACGACGGGAGGGCACCGCTGGCCAAGCATGCATTCCGCGACTGTGTGGGTTTCGCTTGCCCGCCCGGCGAGCGGGACGAGATTGAAGGACGAGAGGGGGCGGCGAGGTCGAGGATGAGCGGGGGTAGCGGGAGCAGGACGATGGGCAGGAGGAGCAGCAGCAGCATCAGCGCGTGGCCAGAGTCCACGTGCTCGAACGGGGTCTCCACCAGGTCGTACTCCTGCGGGCGACACCGAGGGGGGTGCTTCCTCAGGGTGGGAAGGGGGTGATGGGGAGGGGGTCCGTGGGTACCCGCGCGCCTCCCGTGATTTGCACAGCGAAACAATATTGTGAGACCGGGTGTCTTCCCCCGTGCCTGGGCGCCCCCGCTGCATGTTTTTCTGGCTCCCCTCGGTTGCCCCCTGTTTCACCCCCTGCGATGGGCACTCGACAAGCGGGTGCCCTTCTTCCGGGGTGAAACGGGCAGACGCTTGTTACCCAAGCCCCGCACCGAATTCGAGGTAACAAGCGGGCGTCTATACCAAGGAGTGCGGTGGGCACCCTCGCGGTACCCGAAATGCTCGTCGATTCGGGGAGCAGTGGGCTCCCCAGAATTCGGGCGACGAGCGGGCGCGCATTTTGCCTCCTGGAATGGGCACCCGCTTGTTCCCCGAACACCAAGAAAAATCCGAAGGGGCAGCCAGGGCTCCCCGGAATTCGCGTGACAAGCGGGCGCCCACTTCACCCCCTGAAATGAGCACCCGCCTCTTCCTTGAGTTCTTCACGCTTCGCGCATCCCACCAGCCCATTCCAGAACAGTCTCTTGTGCGAAGCATGCCGGCAGTCGTGGCTTTCGGGCGCACCTCCTCCTGGCCACGCACATATCCTTCTACTTCTCTGGGTCTTTCGCTCTGGGAGGCTCTTGGAGGCATCTTGGGGGTATCCCGCGACCTTCTTGGGGTTATTATTTTGGAGGTCTCTGGGCCCTTTTGGGGTTCCCGTGGTGCCTCTCGGGGCTCCCTTAGGGGCTCCCTTGGGGCTCCCTTGGGGCGCTGTTGGGGCCCTCTTGGGGCTCTTTGGGGGGTTCTGGGAGGTCTCTTGGGGCCATCTTGGAGGCGATCGATCAAAACAAGGACGAGCACTTTTCTCTGTCCCCCCGTCGGGTCCCGAAACCCTATGCAATTACAGCATGCGGCGCCTTTTCGGCTGCCCATCTTGGACGCCCTGACGACCCGCGGAACGGCCTCTCCAGGTCCAGGGGTAGGGGGTAGGGGGAGGGGTAAACCCCTCCCCGAAGGGGAAGAAAGGGGTTGAGGACAGAGGGCCCCCTAAACCACTCACGCCCAGAGGGCTGGTGGGATTTCGGGCACCCATCTGGGGCGCAACCTGAGCTCCCCGAATGTCGGGGTAACAGACGGGGTAACAGACGGGTGCCCATTTCACCACTGAAATGCGCACCCGCTTGTTACCCGAAGTTCCGAATTTCGGGGGGGCAGTCTGGGCCCCCCGAAATCCCACCAGCCCTGTGGGCGTGAGTGGTTTAGGGAGCCCTCTCTGTCCTCAACCCCTTTCTTCCCCTTCGGGGAGGGGTTTACCCCTCCCCCTACCCCCTCCCCCTGGACCTGGAGAGGCAGTTCCGCGGGTCGTCAGGGCGTCCAAGATGGGCAGCCGAAAAGGCGCCGCATGCTGTAATTTCACAGGGTTTCGGGACCCGGCAGGGGGACAGAGAAAAGTGCTCGTCCTTGTTTTGATCGATCGCCTCCAAGATGGCCCCAAGAGACCTCCCAGACCCCCCCAAAGAGCCCCAAGAGGGCCCCAACAGCGCCCCCAGAGAGCCCCAAGGGAGCCCTTAAGGGAGCCCCGAGAGGCACCACGGGAACCCCAAAAGGGCCCAGAGACCTCCAGAATAACCCCAAGAAGGTCGTGGGATACCCCCAAGATGCCTCCAAGAGCCTCCCAGAGCGAAAGACCCAGAGAAGTAGAAGGATATGTGCGTGGACAGGAGGAGGTGCGCCCGAAAGCCACGACTGCCGGCATGCTTCGCACAAGTTGCTGTTCTGGAATGGGCTGGTGGGGATGCGCGAAGCGTGAAGAATTTATTGGAATTCGGGGAAGGGGGGTGGACCAGCCTGTGCTCCCCGAGTATCGGGTAACACGCAGCTGCCCACTTCAAGGGGTGCAGTGGGGGCACCCATGCGTTACCTGAATTGAATTCTGGGAAAATTCGGGGGGCAGCTTGGGCTCCCCGAAATTCCAATAACCTCGTGCCCCAGAAAATAACCCCCTGGGGATAATCAAGTTCGGGGGTCTGGCGGGTGTAATCAAAGATTTTCCCGGCGAAGGTGATGTTATGATGTTATGATGATGATGAGGAGGATGACGATCGTGATGATGATGACGATGACGATGACGATGCTGGGCGCTCGTGTAACCTGACCTTGTAGATCTTGGCACAAGAATGACTCGAGAGATCTCGAGTAGCGTGGCTACAACTTGCCTGCGCAACAGAGGTCCTTGGCGCTCCTGACCAAGAAACCTCTCTTGCGCACGACCTCAAACCACTCGCCCATGCAAGCTCGGCAACTTCCCCCAGGGATTATCAAGTTCGACCTCCGCGCCCCTCTCCACAATTAATTCCTATTGACTCGGAGAAAAAATACAGGGGGAAAAAAGGGGGTAGGCTTTATTATCCGGGGCATTGCGTTAACAAGCGGGCGCCCATTTCACCCTCTGAAACGAGCACGCGCTCGCTATCCGAAATTAAAAAGACAATCGGGGGGGCAGCCTGGGATCCCTGAAATTTGGGCAACAAGCAGGTGCCCATTCAACTCCCCTGAAATTGGCACCCGCTGGTTACCAAAGCTCCGAATTTCGGGGGGGCAACTTGGGCTCCCCGAAATTATGGTCACAAGCCTGGGGGGCGGGTCTGGAACAGGGAATCCAGGCGGCGATGAAGCGCATTCACTTCTGCGGCGATGCTTCCCCGGTTGGTCGACATAAACACCGCCCGGAGACAAATCTGCGGCGAGTCTCGCTGCGTTGCGCAGCCGGCGCTCAAGGACAACAGCCGGCGTCAAAATCTACATCCCGGGCGCGCCCCAGCGCGGCGACGCGGCGGACCTGCGCGCGTGCCACTCGAGCCGTCGGCGCGCGCGCGCGCCGAAGCGCGCGCCTCTGAATCGAAGTGCGACGCGCGCAACGCCACTTGCGAACGCTGCCTAGCTTGAACACGACAAGATTGGCGCAAACGAAAAAAACGATTGGCTGGAGAAACAAACAAAGAAAGAGGGGACCGAATGGACGAACCGGAGGATGCCTAAACACGGGGGGGGCGAGGGCCGCGTGGACGACGGCCCACGGGGTGGACTCGCGGTCTGCAACTCGCAGAACCCATCTTTCAGTCGGGCCTGTCCCCCTACAGGGGGATTTTCGACGAAAAATAAAAACAAGTGGCACGCTGGCCATGGCTCTTGCACAAAAAAAAGGGGGAGGAGGCGGAGGGGGCGCGCTGGCTGGTGAATGGGGTGATGGAGGGGGCGTTCGGGATGGAGGTGCCGGGGCGGAGGGGGCGCGTTGGCCGGTGGATGGGGGGATGCGGAGCGGGCGCTCGGGGTGAGAGAGGAAAGCGCCGTGCCGAGATGAATGGGTCAGGGCGGAGGGGGCGGTGCCGCGCCAAAACAAAGGGGTCGGGGCGGAAGGGGCGTGCTGGCTGAAGGGTGGGGGGGATGCGGACGGGGTGCTCGCGGAGGGGGCGGTGCCGCGCCGAAATGAAGAACTCGGGTCGGAGGGGTGTGCCGCGCCGAAAAAAGATGCCGAAAAAAGGGGTCGGGGCGGAGGGGCGCGCTGGCTTGTGAGTGGGTGGGCGTGGGGGGTAATAAGGGGGTCGGGGCGGAGCGGCGCGCTGGCTGGTGGGTGGGGGGCTGCGAAGGGGTCGCGCAGGGCGCGCGGGGAGGCAGTGGGGGCCGTGCCGAAATAAAGGGGTCGCGGGTTCAGGGGGCGCCCTGGCTGGTAAGTGGGGGGATGCGGGGGGGTGTGCCGTGCCGAAATAAAGGGGTCGGGGCGGAGGGGCGCGCCGGCTGGTGGGTGGGGGGATGCGGAGGGGTGTGCCGTGCCTAAGTAAAGGGGTCGGGGCGAAGGAGTGTGCCGTGTTGAAATAAAGGGGGTCGGGGCGGGGGGGCGCGCTGGTTGGTGGGCGGGGGGGGGATGCGGATGCGGTGTGCTGTGCCGAAATAAAGGTGTCGGGACGGAGGGCGCGCTCGCTGGTGGGTGGGGGGGATGCGGATGTGGTGTGCCGTGCCATAACAAAGGGGTCGGGGCGGAAGGGTGTGCCGCGCCGGAATAAAGGGGTCGGGGCGGAGGGGCGCGCGGGGGGGGGGCGTGCCGAAATAAAGGGGTCGGGGCGGAGGGGCGCGCTGGTTGGTGGGTGGTGGGGGGCTGCGGTGTGTGTGTGTGTGTGTGTGCCGTGCCGAAATAAAGGGGTCGGGGCGGAGGGACGCGCTGGCTGGTGGGTGGGGGCGATGAGGATGCGGTGTGCCGTGCCGAAATAAAGGTGTCGGGGCGGAGGGGTGTGCCGTGCCGAAATAAAGGGGTCTGGGCGAAGGGGCGCGCTGGCTGGTGGGTGGGGGGGATGCGGAGGGGGTGTGGAGGAGGTGCGCCGTGCCGAAATACAGGGGTCGGGGCGGAAGGGTGTGCCGTGCCGGTCGTGGCGGAGGGGCGCGCTGGCCGGTGGAATGTGTGGGTGATGGAGGGGGTGCCGTGCCGAAATAAAGTGGTGGGAGCTCTAGACACCCTGTGCAAGAGAATATTCAAACAATGCTCCCAAAAGGTCAAACACTTTTTAAGAAACAGTCCCCAGACCATTGTTTGACTATTTTGGAAGATCCCCCCTGTAGAGAGACACGCCCGACTTCAACCCAGCGCCAAATCGATCCAGACAGGATTTGCAGCGGGCGCAGACATCCTTGGGCGCCGACCACGGCGGGCGCGCACCTCGAGCGGGCGCGGGCTTCCGCGGGCGCCGGGCTCCAACGCCCGCGGGCTGCGGTTGGCGCGGGCCTCGGCGGGGGCGGATTTCGGCGGGCGAAGGCGTCCAGGATCGCAGACGCCAGCGGGTGCGGACTTCAACGGGCGCAGACATCCGCGGGGGCAGAAGCCAACGGGCGCAGGCTTCCACGGGCACCAGGTGCCGCGGGCGCCCGCGGGCGCGCGAGCGGGCGTCGGCGGGCGCGGTCTTCAGGAGGCGCAGACTTCAGCCGGCGCAGAAGCCGTTGGGCGCGCGCGCCGGTGGGCGCAGGCCTCAGCGGGCGGTGGCGTCGCTGGGCTCGCGCGTCAGCGGGCGCAGTCCTAAGCGGGCGGGCGCGTTGCTGGGCGCAGAGGCCAGCGCGCGCAGACATCAGGGGGCCCATACTTCAGTGGGCGCGGACGTCGGGGGACGCAGCATTTTCAACCAAACGGTGTCCATGGGCCAGGTGGTGCACATGATTGGCACATGCCCGAAATATGTCAGCCAGAAATTACAAAATACACCAACACTTCAAACCCAAGTTCAAATAGCCGTGCACATTAACCCAAACATCGTAATGCAACTCAAATAGCAATTAAAATTTACACATGCATTAGATGAGGAATCCAACCACGTCTACAGTACAACAGTACAACATCATGCGCGGCATCGGAGAATGATAACCACAAGAATTTAAAACAAACGGCGCGGCATCCCCACATTTGTTGATACATTTCAGATCGAACGTGACCGCTCCCAAAGATTACTGCTTCGCGGAACGGCTTCGTCGTTGGATCAATTTCCCTTTGCCGTCGCCTGCTTTGCTATCTTCCGGCTCGCCGCGATCGACGCTCGTTCCGAATTAAATGAAAGGGCGGGGGCCTCTGAGTTGTTCATGCCGTTTCTGCTGCACCGCCGGGGGAAAGCGAGAAGAGACGACGGACGCGGGCGCAAACGCTTCCCCTAAGAAGTTGGGGCCTCCAGAATCTAGCAGGGACCTGCCCCCTCACCCAGGCGCGCACGCGCGCCCCGCCCCAAACCCTAACAAAAGCGGTGGACAGGGCGGTGACTCGCCACGGGCGTCTCCGATCAACGACGCATGGCATTATGCTCGCTACGCAATCAAAATACGATCCACTACTTTGTTGCTGCTATCTGGGCACCCGGAATCCGTATGGATTTCTGGAATTCCTGACATGTCCGTCGTATTATGTTTTCGTGTTGGTGCGCATGTGTATTGTTCTTGATACCCTCATTGTTTTGTTGACCTCCACACACATATGTATGTATACGTAGCTCCCCGCAATTACGGATAAGAATGAGAGGGCGGGCGCGGGCGACGCGGGCGTCGAGCCGGCGGACCTCGTGGCCCTCACGAATGCAAATGCCAAAGAAGCCTGGAACGAATGCAAAAGAAGCCCGCCGCAGGCGCCGAACATTTTGGGTGGGTGCCGGGATGGGTCGCGGGAGGGTCGCGGGTGGGTCGCGGTGGGTCGCGGGTGGGTCGCGGGTGGGTCGCGGGTGGGTCGCGGGGTGGGTCGCGGGTGGGTCTCGGGGTGGGTCGCCAGCGGGTCGCGGGTGGGTCGCCGATGCAAAAGAAACCCGTTGCAGGCGCCGAAACTTTGGCTTGTTCAGTGAGCGTAGTTTGGGTCGCGGGTGGGTCGCGGGCTCTCCACCTCCACCTGGAATGAATTCAAGAACAGCCCGCCGCAGGCGCCGAAAATTTTGATCAGTACACTGAACGCGGTTTGGGTCGAGGGTGGGCCTCAGGTTCTCTACCTGGAACGACCTGGAACGAATGCATAAAAAAACAAAAAAACAACAACAAAAAAAAAAAACGCCGCAGGCGCCGAAAATCTTGGGCGGGTCGCGGGGTGGGTCGCGGGTGGGTCGCGGGTGGGTCGCGGTGGGTCTCGGGTGGATCGCGGGTGGGTAGCGGGTGGGTCGCGGGGTGGGTCGCGGGTGAATCGCGGGTGAGTCGCCGGTGGGTCGCGGGTGGGTCGCCAGGGGGGTCTCGGGGTGGGTCGCGGGCGGGTCGCGAGGTGGGTCGTAGGTGGGTCGCGGGTGGGTCGCGGGTGGGTCGCGGGGTGGGTCCAGGGTGGGTCGCGGGGTGGGTCGCGGGTGGGTCGCTGGTGGGTCGCGGGGTGGGTCGCGAGTGGGTCGCGGGGCGGGTCGCGGGTGGGACGACGACAACAACAAACAACAAACAGCTAACAACAAACAACAAACAACAAACAACAAACGACAAACAACAACAACAACAACAACACCACCACCACCACCAACAACAACAACAACAACGACAACAAGAGTCCGCATCGCGAAATTCCACTTCAGCCACGCAGCCAGGGACATTGAATGACCGTTCGGTTCAGCCCCCTCACTCTGACGTATATGTTGTTCCGGTATCGCTTGATTAACGATTGTACCGGTTATGGAATCCTCATATCGATGTGTGAACCGTGCCGGGAATGTGTTGATGGCCCAACGGCTGGCTACTCAAAGAAAGAAGAAGTCCGACGACCCGCCGGAATCAGCTGAACTCGTTGGGACATGGTTGAAACTTGTAGGAGCATCCTGCGGAATCCATCGAAATTCTTGAGCAATCCGAATCCCCCATGCAATCAAACAACAACCACGCAATTCCATAATCAAATGTCTACGATTCTTCCGGACACCGCAAGAAATAATATGTGTAACATGTTTCTGGGGACTATTTGAATTGTTTGGGAAATCCTCGGTCGTCGAACCTGCCAGTTACGTAGCAACACCCGCAGAAGCGGACAAATCGCAATCGATTCTACACTCCACGTGTCATCGCAGGGGAGGGAAACGCATGCGTTCTACTCCACTCTACTTGCCACAACCAAAAGCGAAAGAAACAACCTGACCTGACAAGAACGGGAAGCGAGTGTTCGAACGTTCGTTGCAGGTGTGGCATCACATGGGGACGTCAAAACTGGAAGGCTTGTGCGAACAGGAGGGGACTGCGCGGTGCCCGATTCAAGGATGCCTCGTAAACTATACGACGCTCGCGCTCCCGAGGCGCAGATCCCTCGTAAAGTACACGCGATACGCGCTCCGAGGCCACGACCCATTGCAAAGTACTCTGGGTTCATGCCTCGGCGACCAGGACCTACAAAAGTGCAGCCATATTCACGCCCTGGAACCGCTATTACTTGTATTGTGCGCGAGCGGTCAGTTACCACGCGGCCCCCGCGTCCACCTTCAAGATCCCGAGCTATCCGCCGTCCCCTTGGGGTTCGGTCCGGCTGGCTTGCAGGGGGGGGGATCTGGTAAAACGGACTAGATCCCTCACCCCTCCCAAGAATGCCCAGGATGCCTCTGGCCGTCTCCGGCCACTCCTAGATGCTCCAAGACGGCCCATTCTATTTTGAATACAACCGGAGATAACCCCAAGACGGTCCAAGAGGCCTGTAACATGAAGCCCTCTTGGATCCCTCTGGCGCCGCTTTCGGGCCCTCTTGAGCTGTCTTGGGGCTGTGTAGCCCGAGTTCGGGATTAGGAGATGGAATATCTAGTGACCTTCGGTCCATCCCGCCACCGAGCCGGGGTACTGAGAATGAGACGAAGTGAAAGTTCGTTGGGCTCTCTTGGGAGGCTTCTCGCGGGCGATTTTGGATCCTCTTGGGGCCTCTTTTGGGCCTCTTGGGGGCCTCTGGGGGCATCTTGGGGGCCTCTCGGGGGCCTCTTGGGACCTTTTGGGCGTCTCCTGGGGCCTCCTAGGGCCATCTTTGGGCGGGATGCTCCGATTTTCGGTTCGGGCTCTCCCTCTTGGGCCCCTCTTGGGGCCCTCGTGGGCCTTCTTGGGAGCCTCTTGGGCCGTCTTGGCGCCCTCTTCGGCCGTCTTGGGCGCCTCTTGAGAGTCTACTGGGCCGTCGCGGGTCGGTCTTGGGGGACTCTTGGACCGTCTTCGACGCCGTGAAGACGAGAAAATCGTATATACTACATATACACGCTTCCCATAGGAATTTGACGATTTTGGCCTCTTGGGCCCTCTTGGGAGTGCTCTTGGAGGCCTCTTGGGCCGTCATGCGGGCCCTCTGGAGCCGTCCTGTGGCCTTCTAGGGACCCTTTTGGGCGCTCCAAGAGCGACCTGAACACAAAGGCGGCCTGGAGCCAACGCCAACTCCATTTTTTAGAGGATGTCCCGAGCGAAACGGCCAATTTAGAAACCTATCTTGACATGAACGGGAAGCGCGTGAAATCGAAGAGCCTGGCAAGAACGTGCACCAACATTGATGTCGCATGTCGCCTAGGCGCTCTTCCCGACCGTGCACAAGGGGTACCAGGTGGAGTTCACTACCCGCGCAAGTTCAGACGTGGTCCTCACCCGAACTCCCTAAAATATACCAGATAGGGTTCACTAGCCGCGCAAGTTGAGACGTGGCGCTCACCCGAAACATACGGAAATAATAAGATTATGCAAGGAAAAATGAAAACGCGAAATACCGCGAGATAAATGTACGTGCAAGGATCTCTCCGATAGTACAGACTGAGACCGGATGAGCCGAACAGCTATAACATATGTGGACGGCGGGCGGGGGCTGATTCCCGCGGAAGATCAGGGCCAACACCAGCTAGAGTTCACTCCCCGCCTGAGTTCAGCGACGCTACTAACTGACATGGGCAGCCAGCTCCACCTGGCACCCCGCGTTGAATCGCCAAGAGCCCCCAAGCAGGCCCCAAGAGGCCAAACAGAGGCCCAAAACAAGCCCCAGGAGGCTCCGAAACAACCCCCAAGAGGCCTCCAAAGTACCACTTGAGGCATCCGAGAGATCTACCAGGAGATCCCAACGAACACTGCAGAGCCCTCTGACCAACAACCCAGGCACGGTGGCGGGATGGGCCAGCCTTTTGGGCAATCCTGGAGATCCTTCGAGAGCGTCCCTTAAAGATGTCGTACAACATCTACTTCAACCCCTCATTTTTTGGAAGATGTCTCAGGCGAAATCGACATTTTCGAAAATCCGAAGGTTTCGCCAGCGATTTCAATATCTCAACTTTTCTGAGGATGTCTCAGGCGAAAGGCTCATTTGTCAAACAAGAGGCCTTAAAGCAGCTTTTTCAACATCCTATTGTTTCGAGGATGTCTCAGGCGAGAGCCCCATTTTTGCAGATCCGAAGATTCCGCGACCGATTTCAGTATCCCCATTTTGTGAGGATCTCTCAAGCGAAATCGTCATTTGTAACACAAAAAGCCTTAAACGATAGCCTCCAACATCTCCATTTTGTGAGGATGTCTCAGGCGAAATGGCCATTCTGGGGAATCCGCCTGGAATCCGCCTGGGGCTGACGGAGGAGCAACCCCGAGCCCTTC